ATAGAGGCCATGGTAGTGGGTATGAGATGATATCTTGATAGTTGATACCGAGCACTCTTCCCTGTTTGTTTGTTTGTTTGTTTGTTTGTTTGTTTTTTGGTCATTTGCATATCCTCTTGGAAGAAATGTCTACTCAAGTCATTTGCCCATTTTCATTCTCTCTTTTTTTATTTAAAAGTTTTTTTTTTTTCCATTTACAGACCAACCACAGCTGCCCCTCCCCCCACTCCCTCCCCATCCACTCCTCAGAGAGGGAAAGGCCTCCCAGGGGGAGTCAACAAAAGTTGGGCATATCAAGTTGAGGCAGGACTAAGCCCCTCCCCCGTGTATGGGGCTGAGCAAGGCATCCCTGCATAGGGAATGGGCTCCAAAAAGCCGGTTTATGCATCCAGGATAAATCCTGGTCCCACTGCCCACATAATGCCCAAGTCACACAACTGCCACCCACATTCAGAGGGCCTAGTTTGGTCCCATGCAGGTTCCCCAACTGTCAGTCCAGAGTCAGTGAGCTCCCACTAGTTCGGATTAGCTGTCTCTGTGGGTTTCCCCATCATGATCTTGACCCTTTGCTCATACAATCCCTCCTCCCTCTCTTTGGACTCGGGGAGCTCCACCCAGTGCTTAGCTGTGGATCTCTGCCTCTGCTTCCATCAGTTAGTAGATGAAGGTTCTATGATGACAATTAGGGTAGTCACCAATCTGATCACAGGGAAAGGCCAGTTCGGGGACCCTCTGCACTGTTGCGTGGAGTCTTAGCTGGGGTCATCCTTGTGGGTTTCTAGGAATTTCCCTAGTACCAGGTTTCTCACTAACCCCATTAATGGCTCCCTCTGTCAAGATATCTCTTTCCTTGCTCTCCCTCTCCATCCCTTCCTCAACTCGACCATCCTTTCCCTCATGTTCTCTTGCCACCTCCCCTTACCTCCTCCCCTTCCCCACCATGTTCCCAATTTACTCAGGAGATCTTATCTATTTACCCTTCCTAGGGGGATCCATGCTTATCTCTTTTAGGGTCCTCCTTGTTACCTAGCTTCTCTGGGGTTGTGGAATGTGTAGCCTAGTTATCCTTTGCTTTACGCTTGATATCTACTTATGAGTGAGTACATACCATGTTTGTCTTTCTGGGTCTGGGTTACCTCACTCAGGATGTTTTTTTCTAGTCTGTCCATTTGCCTGCAGATTTCATGATGTCATTTTTTTTTTTTTTTTTTACAGCTGAGTGATACTCCATTGTGTAAATGTACCACATTTT